CCGAGGAACAATTCGCCTCGGATCCTAAGTATCCGAGACAGCTTCGGACCCTAAGTGTCCTATTCAGCAATATTCCTCCACGACTCAGTGCCGAGGAACAATTCGCCTCGGATCCTAAGTGTCCGAGACAACTTCGGACCCTAAGTGTCCTATTCAGCAATATTCCTCCACGGCTCAGTGCTGAGGAACAATTCGCCTCGGATCTAAGTGTCCGAGATAGCTTCGGACCCTAAGTGTCCTATTCAACAATATTCCTCCACGACTCAGTGCCAAGGAACAATTCGCCTCGGATTTAAGTGTCCGAGATAGCTTCAGACCCTAAGTGTCTTATTCAGCAATATTCCTCCACAACTCAGTGCTGAGGAACAATTCGCCTCGGATCCTAAGTGTCTGAGACAGCTTCGGACCCTAAGTGTCCTGTTCAGCAATATTCCTCCACGGCTCAGTGCCGAGGAACAATTCGCTTCAGACCTCTGGTGGCCGGATTAGAACTTTTTCCTCCGGACTCCAAGTGTTTAAAACCCTGTGGATATATCATAAGTTCATCATGATCCACCCCACATCAGGAACACACAAGAAAGAAAGAGTATGTATACGTCTACTGCAGGCAAGTCAAAGGCAAGAAGAGTTCACTTAACAGTTAGATCATTGTCCAAATGAATCATCCTGAGATGTCAATTAAACTGTTGAAAGGATCTCCTTCTTCCCATCATCCTTACTTTTTCTCGGATAGCATAAATTCGAAGCATAAAGACAATGTGTTTTGTTTGTCATAAAAACATTACCAGTCAGAAAAGTATGAACAATATCAAAAGCATACAGCAAAAACAAATCAGGTATTAAAAGCCTAAAACAAAAATTATATTTATTATCCCAAATATACTGTCAATAAGAACAAAATACATGGTTCTACTTCCTTTTCGGATCGAAGGGAGTAAATTCAAAAGCATCCACTACAGTAGGACTTGGGGTAGGAGGAATTGAAGCCGCAGGGGCAGAAGAGCTAGGAGTACCCTTCAGGTGCGCCTTCACCATCTCGGCAAAGCGGATTTCAGCTTCCAAAGCCTGTGGCCCTTCATCATATGGGAAGTGCACCCCCACCTGCTTGTCAAAAGCGTCCGGATCCATTGTCTTAGGGCCTGAGCCCTGATTATAGCCAGACCGGAACGCTTTAGCACTAGCCAGGTGTGCCAGACAGGAGTAGCGCCCCTGCATTTGCTTCCCCGCCTTGAAGCAAGTAGTAAGAGCCTCGGTCAGGCGTTGAATTTCGGCCTGAAGAGAATCCACCTTAGCCTCAGAGGCAGCCAACTGCCTCTTATACACATCCTTGGCTTTAGTAGTTATCTTCAGATTGGTAGAGGCATTGGTGGCTCTCTTCTCTGCATTGTCAAGATCCTTCCCCAGCTTTTTGATGGAGAGGGATTGGGCTTCAGCAGTGGCGCAGAGGGCCATAGTGTGGTATAGACTCTGTATAAAAAGATAACGGAGGAAAAAATATGAGCATAAATGGAAACATAAGTAAGCAAGAGTAACATAATTCTGAAGGAGCAATACGAACCTCTATGGCTCGGACCGGGGCAGAGGGGAGTAGTTGTTCCAACCCCATTTGGCTGATGGCTTCCTCGTCCTTTGGGAGCCACGTCCCTCGGGCCACAGCCAGTGCAGCTGAAGGGTCTGTGATCACAGAATCCCCTGAATGCAGGACTGACTTGTCAGCCCTGGTGAAGGAAGGAGCCCAAGAAGCCCCAGTTTCAGCCAGAACATATGCCCTGACTTCATCTTCAGGTTCGGCCTCTCCAGCCTTTTTCCCTCTGCTTTTAGAAGGGACCTTGCCCTTGCCAGAGGATGGGGGGTTGAGGCGAGATTTCTTCATTGGTGGTTCCTCAGCCTCCACCTCACCCTCAGTAGACCTAATAACGACCAAGGGTTGGGCATCTTCGGCTTTCTTTTTTAAAGCCTCAGCCCTCCGTATCTCCTCCTCAATCATGGGGAAACTATCAAAGGATGGTAGAGACAGATCCATGAGGTCTGCAACAACAGCACTGGAGGCAATATCCTTGAGGTTTGAAGAAGTTAGCAGGTCCTCGATAGGCGAGGGGTCACTCCAGACTCGTTCCTCAAGAAAAGAAAGTCTGTTCCTTGCTGTGGAGGATGTGAATGTAGCTGAAAAAACACCAAGAAACTCATAAGTACGGCGAAACATTAAGACTTGGTAAGGAAAACAGCCAGAACACTTGGTATGAAGGGAGGTTAAGTATTCTATACCTAACTTCCCGAACTTGCGCGGGATAGGGAGCGTAATTGATTGGGGCACGAACCATTTTTCTTTAACTATAACCATCCTTTCTTTCCACTTCTTTTCAGATGAAGGAAGGTTCGTGCATATCCTCTGATGAAGGGTAGAGGTAAAAAAGAAGCGACCAGGCTCGGTCCCATGCTTAGATATATTATAAGTAAGCAGAAGGTCGGTAAAGGTCAAATCCAGAGCCTCTAATTTTCGGCGCACCAATAGTGCCGAAAGGATGCGAAAGAAATTAGGATTTACCTGATGGGGGGCAAGACCTAACTTGTTGAAAACTAAATGATAGAAGGGGTGAAGAGGGAACCGGAGGGCGCTAAGACGCCCGACCGAAAGAAGCAACTCACTCTCTTCAATTCCCTCGCCGGAGGTAAAATCGGCACCCTCAGGATATTCTACAATTTCTACTCCCTCAGGAATATCAAATTCTTCCATTACCGAAGCAACAGAGAACTTGATGCGGCGAATAGAGATGATTGCTTTCCTCTCTTCATGAGTAAGAACATTATCAGAGCCTGAGGTGGATGTCTCGGATGGAAGGGGGGAAGTACCTAATTGATTTAATGAAAGACGATCTGTAGAAACCCTAGGAGGGGGAACCCTAATGCGAACGGGGGAAGATGAAGGTGTGGATTCAAAATCCCCAATGTTTATACGTTCGGGAGTAGATAAAGTACTCATAATGAAAGATTGAAGAGAAAGATGCGAAAAAAAACTAACCTGACAAGGCGATAGAATGAAGAACGCAGGAGTGCAGCTAGGGCGAATGTAACTCTTGCAGAATCTTGTACGACGGAGTAATAATGAAAGTCCTCGAACCGTCTCTGAAGCAAAGTAAAAAACCGGTTTCAATTCCCTCTTTAATGGGAGTCGTCACTCAATTAAAAATGAAATTTGGGGCAAAGTGTGGAAGGAAAAAAAACTCCCTCCAATAAGAATATTCCACGTCATCACAGATGTAAATCTATCTTCCAAAGGCCCATCATGCTCAAGCCCAAATTGAGTGTATTTTTAGCCCAAGACCACTGTTATTTGTCTTCCAACCTCTATCAAGGCCGAATCAAGAGGTCATCAGCCCAACTTGTTAATATTTAACATCCGGTCCGTTATTCAAGCCCAGCCAGATCAAAGTATGTTCAGCCTAGTTATTCAAGAATGCACAAGTCCTACCAGTTGAAGGATTTACCATAGAAGGAAAATTCTGAGATAAGAAGTTTTGTACAAGGCAAGTTCTATGCATAGAAAATTAGACAATGGAAAGAACTCTATTAGTAAAGAATGTTTATATAGAAAGAATTGGAGGACAAGTAACGCGAGTCCTACAATAATTTTACAATCTTTTGTATATAAATAGAGGCTTAGACTTCTAATAAAGGGATCAAGCAATTCTATGCTAATCTTTATACGGTTCATGTTTATTTTTATTATTTGTTGAGTGAGTTGTTTTATTGTTCTTAATCATTATTGGTTGAGCGAAATTTTGCACCTACAATATATATATATATATATATATATATATATATATATATATTCACTTATTTGAAACTTTCAATCATATCTCTTCGCTATCCAAGTTGTCCAAATTGATCCGACCAAATACTTCAACTGCTCGGACGACCTATCTGGATTAGGTTTCTTAAAGCTCTTGTTGGACGAAAACGAAGGTGGAAGGGCGTTGCCGCCGTTGCAATACACGGTATATACATATATGTATGTATATAATTATATATACTTGTGTTAAAAGAGGGTAGATGGGCAATATTGTCTTTCAGGTTTGCTTATGTTTTGGATTAAAATAAATTAAAAAAATAAAGGTAAAATTGTTATTTTATCCTTACTTAACGATCTACGTGAAAAGTGATTTGAAATCTACGTGATATTAATTTTGAAAGATGTTTCTATGAGATATTTAGCTAAATCTGAAGGGATGTTAGTAAAATTAGTCTTAAAATTAAAGAAAAAAACCACTAGACTATGAACTACGATAATTAAATGATACATATTTTCAAAGATACTCTCAAACATAATTCATGAATATCAATTCTTTAACTTTCAATAATTTATCTAAATTTCAAGAGCAATTCCCTTGCAGATCCTGGTTCATGTAAGCCTCATGAACTGCTAAGCATGCCGGGAAAAAAAAAAAAAAAAAAAAAAATTCCCGCTAAGCATGAGTAAAAAATATAAAATAAAGAGTATTAATATTTAGGTTGAAATGTCAATGTAAATTATTTAATATAATATAAAAAATAAAAATAGAAATGGGAGTCTCACTTTCTTATATTTTGAGTATACAATTTAACATTAAAAGATTTTCGTTCAAGTAAATCAAACTTTTAGGCATTTAAAAACTTTGAGAAAATTCACCCGTTAGGCACTAGGCTCATCAAAAAGGAAACACCGGATGTTGGGTTGGATAGGGTTTATTCTATTTTAGCCTAATTTTGTCTTAGTGCAGCTGGGTCATGGGGTTGGGCTGTGTGGCTTGCCCTTGTTATTTTGGCCAATCTGGTTTGTCATTGGGCTAAATATTTGGCCTGTGTTTTGTTTGGGCTTTGGCCTTGTACATTCCACCTTTTTTCAATATATAAGCGTACCTTCCCAAAAAAAAAAATCACGTAGTTGAACATTTAAGACTGTCATAGGAGCAGATGCAGTACTATATGGAAGATAAAGGGTCAATAATGTAAGGTGAGCTAATTTGTTGTTCATCAATCCGTGAGAGAGAGCACTCTTTACACCAATTTGTTTATTTTACTGGCAGCATAGCCTTAAAATGGTCTCCCTCTCTCTCTTTCTCTCTCTCTCTATAGGCCCATGGATGATGGGCCACCAGACAAAAAAAAATATTTCCCCAATCGCCTCCATCTCTATTATCGTTCTCAACTCTGAACTTCCCGCCTCTCTGTCTCTGTCTCTTTCTCTCTCTGCAACTGCAAACTACGAAATCTACAAGAATCAGAAGTTCAAAACCCATATATTTCAGTTTATCTATCTGTCTGCAAGAATCAAAAGTTCAAAACCCATTAACTATATCAAAACCCATATCTTTCAGTTTCCATCGCCCGCTGTTCCAGTTCGGCTTCGCTGTTCGCAAGCTTCAGCCGCTGTCTCTCAACTCTCAAGCTTGCCCCCCTCTCTCTCTGCAACTGCTAACTTGTATGTATGGGTTTTGTTTTTATTTATTTTTTTCTAAATCAACTAATCAAGCTCTGTATTTCTTGTTTTGCAAACTAAATCCTATTTGGTGAAAATTTTTATGATAGTTTTTATATAATTTTTTTTTAAAAAACGAAAATATCATGTAAGAAAATTCAAACCTTTTAAGTGTAGGAAAGATGCGTTTATTAATAACTTTGACCGTGTTTGACGGGTAAGTGTAGACATAGCCAATGCAAATGTACTTGTGTGTCTATAAATATGTAGTTTGCAACACTTGAAACTTCCTATTCTCAGATCATTGACCTCTGGTCTCGAATCAGAGCTCTCTCTTTCTCTTTCTGTCTAACATTAGAGATCATATAAAATAATTCTGTTTTTTTATTATAATATTTTTGGGTGATATATATTATTACTGTGTTATTGTTTATGAAATGCATTCCTTTTGTTTGTTAGGGTTTCGATTCAATTAAATCATAGATCTGATTACTTGGTTGTCTGCTAAATTTAAATTCAACAGACAAGTTACTAGAGCTAATGTTAAATTTGAAGGATATGAGGAATCAAATTATTAGGTTTTGGTGAATCACTCTGAAATATATGTTGCAAATAGTCTAAAATAATTTCGTTTTTTTATTATAATATTTTTGGGTCATATATATGTAAAATGTTGGGAATTTGATTTATTTTTGGTTATTTCTAGGGTTTTACCTCTAACTACTAGCAATCAAGGGAATGTTACCTCAGTCCTCAGGTAATTGATTTTGTTTCTACTGCCTATTTTAAAATTATTTGTTGGAAAACTTTGAATTTTCCAAGTATTTTTGATTGTTATTTTTCTATTCAATTAATCTTTAATAAAGAATTATGTTTCCTTAAAGTGTTAATACCTGATTTCCATATGTTTGTAAGTTCCTAAATTTGTTTTGATGGTCTATTCTTATCCCATATTTTACAGGCTTACCTCTTGGAAAGAGAGAAAGATAAAAGGGATTGGGTGGACTCGGCAAAAAAAAAAAAAAAAGGTACGGTCCCAAGGCATCCTTTTACTTTGGTCTTCATGTGAATAGCTCAAGCTTTCAGTTCGGTTCTAGATCACTGTTGCACTATATACACACACATATGATCTAGTAGCCGTTCTAGAGTCAACACAGTCACACACTTTTTTGCCCTTTTTTCCCTCTTAAAATATTATCCCAGCTGTTGAATGATGGACCAGGTTGATCACATCTAATTTAGACCATTTGATATAATTTCAAGTTGACCATATAGTCTTTGAATGTATTGGTACAGCTGTTGGTCATTTGAATTCTAATTTCCTCTGTAGGGCATAAATAAAGCTTGTTTCAGATTAAGTCCCAATTCCTCACTGTTTCTAAATTCCTCACTGTTTCTACCACCTCCTAAAGGAAATGATTTTGAGTCTCAATTCCTAGAAATCCAACATTGCCAGGATTAAAAAAAAAAAAAAAAAAAAAAAAATCCTAGAAATCCTTTTATGAATTTTGAAATATGACTTTTGCGAAGGAATCTGAAATTGAGATACTATAATATACTAATTAAGGTGTTAAATTAGGTCTTCCAAAGCAAGTTTTTGCAGGGTTGAGAAAATTTAACGCCATATGCTAATACGATTTGAACACGTCATGAATAAGTAGGTTTGAGTTTGGCTTAATTGTGTTCGTGTCGTAATTGCGTCAACCCGAATTGACACGGTAATTAAACGTGTTGTATTCGTGTTTAACTCACCAACCCGTTTATGACCCGATTAACTCGTTTAACTAAATGTGTGAGATTATTGTGTCGTGTTCGTGTAAAAAATGACCTATTTAGTTGAACATGTCGAATAATCGTGTCTTTGTGTTAAAAATGACTTAAACGTATGTTGTTGTGGCATTTCATATCGTGTCAATTCTTAACCTATTGATTAAACGAGTTATGCATGTCGTGTCTTGTTACTTTCATATTGTGTTCGTGTCAGGGTTTCAATAATAATTGTGTCATTTTCATGTCGACCCATTAAACAAGATAGCCATATTTTGACACGACACTAACACAACTCGCCAATACGAATTGCCTCCTCTAAATTTTTTAAACAAATTAAACAAAATCTAAAAAAATGATTTTTGAAAACACATTTATCATAGGAAAAAAATACTGAAAAGAGGATATGTTTTGGTAACTCCCCATGATTAGTTTGTGTCAAAGAAAATCACAAAGTCAGGACTTGACGATATTAGGAGGTGGTAGAAACAGTGAGGACTTGGGACTTAAATTCATGGCAAGATTTCGTTTTGACCTTCATGGACTTGTAATATTTGATTTTATTATCTGTGTTCTATTGGTGATGAAATATACATACCGATCAAGAATTGCAGTTTACTAAAGTTTTAAAAAGGCACACCTACTTATACTCTTAAAAATTGATAAGAAAATTTAATCCGTCCTCAGATCATTCACTAATTAAACACTAATATATATTGATAATTTTTATTAAAGTAGATGAACGTTTAGTTATGATAAAATATAATTAGTTGAATATACTTATAACATGATTTTCCGTACAAATTTGTTTGACTTTTGAGCGTTAGTTTGTCAAAGCATTATAAAAATAATACTTGGAAAAATGTAAGCTAAAAAGCAAAAGAAGAGTCGGAGAAAAGGGCAACCCTCACACGCGAGGGAAGAAGAGGCCCTAGATCAGTGAAAGAAGAAGAAAAAACAGAGCTAAGAGCAAATCTGCAGACTTCGTGTGCTGCTTGGTTACTGGATCTCGGGGTCCAGTGGAGGGATAGGTCATCGCCTATCTGAATCAGATGTTGCACATCTAGGATGCTGTTTGAGATAGCTTCATCAATAAATTGAAGATTCATAATGGGTTGGCAATCTCCTTCAATGAGAACATTAGAGAGTCCCAGATCAATGCAAGCTTGGGCTGCAATTTGAAGAGAGAGGGCTTCGGCAGCGATTGCGGATGGGACATTTTGGAACACAAGGCCAAAAGATCGAAGAAGGTGGCTTTCATGATTTCTGAGAATAAATCCACCACCTGCATGGATGAAGGTGGAGGAGGCCAGGAATCCAACGTGAAGACGGAGGATGGGAGGCTGGTACATGGAAATCCAGCAGGCTGTCATGAAGATGAAAGGTTGAGAAGTTGGAGAAATCTTGAAGGGCTCTATCTAGGATGATGTGAGGATTAACCCTCAAGTTGTTGAATACCAGAGTATTCCGACTCTTCCAAATACGCCAGCAAATAAATAGAGCCAAACTTGCACATTCTAGGAAGCATTTGTTATCTTTCCAAGAGAGTGACAAATTAATCCGTCTTTTGTGCCATTCTATGGGAGGAGAGTTAGAAAAATCAAGACGAAGAGGACTGAGATTCCAAACTATTTGGGCGAAGGGGCAAAGACGCAGGAGATGGTCAACTGATTTATTTTCAAAACCACAAACATTACAGTGGCTCATTTCAATCTTGATGGTCTTTAATGCCTTTGATTTTGAGAGCTTGGTTGACTGGGATACGACTCTGAGTGGTTTGCCAGAGGAAAAAAATGAAGCTTTCTTGGAGTCTTGATTTTCCAAACATTATTCCAAATGAGCTTTAGATCCGTTTCATAGCTTCAACCAATGCCTTAATGACTCGGGTTGGGATTGATAATGGAAAAAGTAGCGTAGTATGCTGATTTGACAGTGAATTGGCCATTAGGAGTGAGGACCCAAATCTTTAGAATCAGATCTGTTCAGAGAGCTTAGGGGAATCTGAAGAATACGAGCACTATTTTTTGGATTAAAAGAGTTGAGCACCACAGAAGTCTAACAAGATCGGCTTTGGTGGTCAATGAGATCGGCAATAGTATGAACATTACCACCAACAAAAGCTGAAGTGACCTTAAAGTTGGAATTCCCTGAGAGTCAAGGAGCATTCCAGCAGTCAATCGATTTACCATCTCTGATTCTCCATTTAAGACCTTTCAAGATGATCTCTTTAGTCGCATTGAGGCTTCTCCACACCCAAGAGTGGCCCGAAGTACAAGAACCAAGGAAACTGCAATTCCTGAAGTAACGCTGCTTGACAATTCTAAAAAGCACGGAGTCATTTCCAACTTCGAATTTCCATGCTACTTTCCAACTAATCCGAGGTCCAAACCTCTACCCTAATACCGTTTGTTATGCCCTGCTCCCTACGACACGTGAGCTAAACACCATTCATAAAATATACCAAAATCAGTTTAAACCATTACATACTTCCCTACTCACATTCACCTCAAGACCACCCAAGAGTGAATCAAAATTTAACTTATCAACCATCTTGCTTGTCTTAACTTTACTCACTGGAAGCTTTCATTCCGGCTAAAATCTTGAAAATATTCTGTAAAGAAAATAGGGTGAGCTACAGGAGCCCAGTAAATTCCCGGTATTTATTTATTTTTGGTAAATAAAAATGAATTAGAAATCGTTCAAAAGGGGAACGCATCCCAAGAGATATACAAGAAACCAAACAAAAACCTTATTGAAAAACAGATAACCTAAGAAAACAAATTTCTTTAAAAAAATTCACAAAAATAACAACTTTAGCACTTTTAGAATGTGAACTGCACGTAGGGGTGCAACTTGGGTTGGGTGACCCGAACCCAACCTGAACCCAACCCGAGCCCAGCCCGATTTTTCACAGGCTTGGGCAATCATTTTTACAATTAGGGTTGGGATTGGGTTGAAAAATCTAAACCCGAATTTAATTAGGGTTGGGCTTGGGTTGAAGTGCTAGCAACCCGAGCCAATCCGAACCCAAATTCCAATATTATTTTCATATATATTTTTACTTTTAAATACATTATATATAATATTTAAACTATGATTACTTTTTTTCTTTTCAACTTGTTTTGTTAAATCTTAACTTATTGTATGTTAACATTTAAGAAAATTAATTTTCTAAAAATTTGTTTGTAATTTATTAAAAATCTACAAAAAGTCTTTAAACTTTTTCTTGTTTAAGAGTAATTTAATCTAACATTAATTCAAGATCATATTAAATTTTTGGTGTAAAGATTAGTCATATGAGTAACCCGAATTAACCGAAATTTTTTACCTGGAATCTAAGCCCGAGTTGCAAGCTCGAATTTAAAAGTAGAAGGATCGGTTGGGCTTGGGTTGAGTAGTTAAGGTTGAAGATATGGTTATGGTTGGGCTTGAGTTTAGAATTTTATATGATGGGTTGGGCTTAAGTTATACCTCAAACCGGCCCAACCCGTCCGAGTTGCAACCTTAACTGCACGGTTGAGATTTAGTTACCGAAATTTAATTAGGAAAAATAATAATATTTTAATTGACCTAATATGTAAACTTTTAATTCCAAATCACCGATTTCAACTCATATGAGTAAAATATGCTCAACTAATCCATTCCGAATTTACAAATCGGAGAAGATCATCAATACCACAATTGGTCCAACAAGGTGTACTCTAGGCATCTTTAGGGACCTACCCCCGGGGACTGTCATCCCCCGTCCTTCGGATTTAGGGTCTCGCACCTTGGGACCGTGAACGCCCCCACATTAAACCCAGGTCGTTTAAGGTGTTTCAACATAAGGGAAGCTCTTATCACTACCTATTTCATGCCAGGCGCTGGTCGTCGTCCAACCATAAGCTTAAGAGTGTGCATTAAGGCGAGGGCCAAGTTTTACATTTATAAGAGCCTCTACTACCTTCACTATAAATATAGCTAGGGCGAGTAGGGATCGTCCCAAGGGATTGTGAGGGTCGAATTAGGTTGTGGAATTGTGATTAGGGTTCGTAGGTCGAGTGATCAAACAAATGGTTGGTTGGTTGTTTAAACTAGAGAGCAACTAAATTAAACTAAGTAATAGAATGCAATTAAGAGTAAATAAGAGAGAGAAGAGTCTTGGGGTTTTGAGATCACCACCAAGCAATGTATTTCTATACCATTGACAAGTGACTAATGAGGGCAAATAGTGTGTTGCAATATTGGTGTGTGTGTGTATTTGGTTGATTCAACAAGCAAT